TTTTTAAAAATGACTCTCTGAAAACAATCCTTAAAAAAGATTGTGCAACAATGATGTTAGGACACTTAAATATAACGAGCAATGTTGCAAAAAGTTTCGACAACCATAGCTTGTCCTACATAATTATATTTTAATGGTCTAACAAAATTATTTTCAAATCTGTATCTAGTTAAATTAAAAAAAAAATCATTTTTTCCGTATAATAATAAAGTGGACGGCCAACACGACGATTACGTTCTTAACGTAACCGTTGACCGGTCACTCTGTCATTAACTCCGTCGAAATAAAACGTTTTATATTGCGCCGCACGCGGCAAAAAATAGTGGTTATCGTAGCGGACCGGTTCGCACAGCGATCTGCTCGCTTCGACATTACGATTATACGACTGACGATCGCGCGATCGTCGATTATAGTCGCGTTATCCTCGGCACGTCGAGAATAGTAGTTACACATCGCGAGGAGGATGCGCTTTTATCAACGCAACGATTCTCGCCGGACATACTGTACAGTCCTTTTTTTAGGGTGTCCCTCGGCCGTGTATCCCATCGATTAAATCATATAGCGGAAGAGCCTGCTTTACGATGCATCGAGGCCGAAGTATTATTACTCTCCTTAACACAGCTTCCGAGCAGAAATTCCGGGTCGCGCCCGTAACAACATCGAAAAAGATGATTAATAACGTCCGTGGCCACCGAGAAGCGCCGTAATATTACGCACGGAAATCAGTCACACGCCGCTTCCTACCAACCGAATTCACGAAGTTCGTGACGGTGAAACATTAAGCGTGCAACTGCCGAGGCTACTCGTATACGAGTGTACCTGTTTGGCGCGTTGTAGAATTTCGAGGAAAGTCCACATCTCCTTTCACTTACCCGTCAAACACCTCGTTAGATGCGTTACTATTAATGTGAATTGATTAATATGGACATAACTTGTAAGTAAAATAAACATGAGTGTACGAAACGCGTTTTGTAATAACAATTATCAGTACTTTCTAAATAATTTAAATTGATCTTAATGATTTTGAATTTTTTGTTTAAAATTAAAACGCAAGTGCCTTACTTTTTAATTTGTTACTTTATTAAAGCAAAATTTCTTCTTAAATCGGACGCTTGTTTTAAGCCGGTATTCATAGTCAGTTCTTATTTCAAGAACCGTTTTAAGTAATGTCTCGAGACGCTAACGCGGTCCTCTGATTGGTACGTGACACTCAAGACAGAACTTAAGGCGATCTCGAATATAAGAACCGACTATGAATACTGGCCTATACGTTAGTCCTTTTTTGTAAATGAAACGTTCAGAAAATACATGGAAAAAATGCATGATGCTGTAGGATGCGTCGCATTTAGCGTGTGCGTGAGACAGTTGTTAATACCAGTTAACAATTAATAAAAGAAGCTACTGACAGGAGGGATACGCTGCTCGCGTGAGAGCGCGCACGAGAAACCTTCGAAAATTCGATGTTCATGTTTCACCATCGGCGGTGCGAGCTTACGTGATCGCACGCATATTTTTTTTTTTCTTTTTTTCTTTTTTCGAAGGGCGTACGAACGACGGTCGAATCCGCGGAAAGAAAGAAAAAAAAAGGACGCTGCAAAAGAAGAACGCGGAGCACGTCGTAGAAAACGCATGCTCCTCGTTCGGATTCACGCCTCGGTAGGCCCGGCGCGCTGTGGCCGCGCACGCAACATAAAAGTTTCCAATTATAATGCACGGCATGATACTTCATTTCGTCCGTCGTCAATTAAAAGCCACGAAACGCCCGACGGCGGCCATCGCTACCGAGTAATTTGCGCGCCGGTAGCGATGGACTATCCTCTGGAAGAAATGCCTGAAAGAGAGAGAAAGGAAGAGAAAAGAGAGAGATGGAAAACGTGAGCTTATTATCGAACACTCTGCCGTGGGCCTCATCGAGATATTGTACAATCGAGAGCGTTAATGCCATCTGGAGCGCTTACCATTTACAGAGATTTCGCAGAGAAACTTCGACGGTAAAAGTGCAAGAGGTTTAAAAAGTTTTTTGTTTAATAAGAAAAATAAGTATTTCGGATATTTCCTAATATTTTTGTCATAGCAGTAGACGGTACAAAGTCTATATTGGTATATAGTTTATTTACCTTAAACATAGTATAATAAATAATATTGGATAAATTAAGTTTCTATTGTGTGGAATTATCCTATCTAATAAATATAATATAACCCGATTCTTCTATGAAATAAGATAATTGAATTAAGGTTTTAATAGATAGGTAAAAAAAGATGTATTTTTTTACATATTACAGAGAAATTTAATGATTGAGTATTAGCGTACCGATTGGCATTAATACTTCTGATTCTACTGTTGGAAAACGTTATACGTAACGTCCAGGGAGAGAGAGAGAAAGAGAGAAAGGTGAATGTCTTACGATGAGATAATTGCGCAGAAAACGATTAGAGTCGTGATATGCAGTTGCAGCATTACCCCCAATGGCGAAAATTCATAACAATTAAATCTTCATACAATTTTAAAGCATTAAATTAAATTAAATTAATTTATATACACATATATATATATCAAACTTAAGATTCGCGTTCCGACAATAACTGATGACTATCTAAATCATCAATCATTGAGTGAATAATATAGTTTGTTATATGATATAATAAAAAATACTAAACGGCATTTACGTAATATATAAATATAAACGAATAAGCATCTAATATATATGTGTCACCTAAATGTTCTTTCTTGTATAATATATTCAGTGTATATCAAGACTTTTCGAAAAATATAACATCACGAGAAATCGATTTTTTTCCCATCTAAAGATATTACGATTGATTCGCGCAAAAAGGCGCTCATTTGCGGTATCAGATGTAAATTCGTGTAATTTTCTTACAAATTACTTGTCGCATCTTAGCCACCGCGCCTTAATGCCAAAGTTAATTAACAACGTGGATCAGTCGATTAAATAAGGGTAGTCTAATTTGGGCGCGAGAGACATTTATCATCTTTACCGTAATATTTATCGGAAGGGACACACGTATAACGAGTGTTCGCCGTAAGATGGTACGAGATTCCCGACCCTCGGGAATGCTTGAGCGGCGATTAATCGTTAAAAATTGCGGTCTATCTTGATCCTCGATCGAAATGTGCGACGCGCATGCGAGCGACTGTATTAACATACGGCATTAGATATTCCGCATGCGAAGCTCGCGCTTATAATAAGCGCGAGCGGTATTCGCACAGCTTTACTTGGATTTCTACAGTAATTACACGCGCATGTATAATCGGCAGTATCGACACCCTCGCGCGGTCGTCGATACGGTTAGTACGAAAGTTCAGATTGCACCTGGGACAAATGGCATTGAATGATTACGATAATGATGATAACGCCGTGTTTAAAAGTAGCATTGAGAAAATTGGACAAAAACCAGAAAATTCTGATTAAATCAATCAAAACGCTGGTTACCTCAATCAGAATTTTATTAGAAAATTTTCTGATTAAATCTAATAAAATTCTAGTTAAAATAACTGAAATTCTGATTAGTTCAATCAGAATCTTTTGGTTTCTCCATTCTCAATCAAACCATTTTTCTCAGTAAGGATTTAACGTAGCGGATATATACCTGTAACTATTGACACATTACGAAACAGAATAGCATGAGAAAAAAATGCTTCTCGAAACTTGAAAAGAATTATGATACATGAAAGTAACACGCGATGGCAGTTAAAACGTACAAACGATTGACGATGCATACAGTCTAATGGGGCACGACGAAATAATGTAAACGTACGTAATCAGCATACATGAAGAGCGATTAATTCAATTTGTGGATGCATATTAAACGATGTGGTGTGAAAATACGGAAACTTTTTGCCTGATATTGTAAATCATTCGTTTAGCATTACGAGCTCTCATCGTTGATCAACCATGAAAAAGCACATGGTAGGTACAAGGATAATACGCTGGTTCAGACTTTAATATTGCGTCGCACATGGCGGCTTCCAATTTTTGTGACAAGGAGAGACGGAAATCACGGTGTTGCACATTCGCCGACCATAACTGCGCGTACGTTAACTTCCTCCATTTACTTTGTAGTCATTTACTTGGTGTAATGTGTGTACACATACATGTGTATATACATGCCTGTATATATACATATACCTCTCTCTCTCTCTCTCTCTCTCTCTCTCTCTCTCATAATAATATGTATAATATGTATAATATGTAGCTTAGATAATTATACAATATTATGTAATATCATGATAATTTTATATAATACATATATCTCGATAAACGATGGTGATAAAGGTTGTTTTCCTTTTAAAAGGCACAGTTGACACAAATATATCGTTCTACTTCTTGGCATTCAATAAATAAAACTAGAATAACACTTATATTTTTTGTGTTTTCTAAAAAGAAAGTAGCTATGATATGAATATTTTTCATAAATGAATATTTTTCATAAATTTGTATCAAAATCTAATGTATATATCTAATGTATATAATTACTTTTGTAGAAAAAGTATACTATATCATTTACATTATTTACTATTATCTTTCTATTACATTATTTACTATTATCTTTCTATTAATGATTCAAATGTAATGTGCATTTATATAATTACATATTATTACATGTTATATCTATAAAAATTAATTTTTCAAATTTTGTAACAAATTTTCAATTTTTTAAATTATTTAAGTATATATTTTCTTTAAAATAAAACTGTGAATAAAAAGAAGAAAATATTTCTCATGAACATACTAACATCTACGTTTTATATATACATGTATATAATCGCTATTTGTATCAAGCAGAAAAAAATTAATGTAACATTTGAAATAGATCAAACTTTAGGCTGTCATGAAACAGATTCGTGTGCGTATTCATTTCCTGAACTCGCCTAGCCGACTTTTTTGTCAGTGTACGTAAAGTAAGACTCCGTATGGATAATATGAGCGATGAAGTGCAGGGAAAGTGCTAAGCTATTATAGCGCGAAGTATATAAGGCTCAGTTTAGAAAACGAAGCGGTGCAGTTAGTGGTCATACGCCACGCTAAAATATACGTGAACTCAAGGATGAATATTAAGGTAAATTAATCCATCCATATATATCAAATATCGTTTTATAACATGAGATTAATGTGTCTACAAATTTTTTTTCCCTTCTATAAGTTAATTTATTCTTACAAAATAAGATGAAATATCTCAAATCTAATGTCTTATAATACTTTAGTGCAATTTCACATCTTTTAATTTTTATTATTTATCACTTATTAATTATAATTATATTAAATTATTGTATATATAAAATTATTGATTATATATAGCTTTATAATAACATGATTTCAGATTGCCATCATTTTGGTGGCAGTGGCCACACAAGTTATATGCGCGAAGGATTCGAGCAAGACAGAAAAGAGCTCGCAGAATGTCGAAGCGGAATCAACGGAGAAGAAAACGGAAAAACGTGGACTCCAGCATAGTTTCGGTGACGGTGGCGATCTACACGGTGGCGGTGGCGGCGGCGGCGGTGATGGTGGCATTGGTTATGATGAGCATGTGAAGACGGTGACGGTTGTAAAGAAAGTGCCGGTACCTTACGAAGTAACGAAGCACGTACCCTATCTGGTGGAGAAGCACGTACCATACGAAGTGAAGGTCAACGTGCCGCAGCCCTACACCGTCGAAAAGCATGTGCCCTATCCTGTGAAGGTGTTCGTCAAAGTGCCGGTCCACGTGCCACAGCCGTACACCGTCGAGAAGAAGGTGCCGTATGAAGTGAAGGTGCCGGTGGATAAGCCTTACGAGGTCAAAGTATACGTGCCACAGCCCTACACCGTGGAAAAGCACATACCGGTACCGGTGAAGGTACCGGTACCACAGCCCTACACCGTCGAGAAGCACGTACCCTTCCCGGTGAAGATAAAGGTGCCGGTTCCGCAACCGTATGCTGTGGAGAAACCGGTGCCCTACGAGGTGAAGGTACCGGTGGACAAACCGTATCCAGTTCCTGTGCCGAAACCATATCCGGTCACCGTCGAAAAACCATACCCGGTGCCGGTCGAAAAGCCGATACCGTACGAAGTGAAGGTGCCAATCGACAAACCGTACCCGGTACCGGTGGAGAAACCATATCCGGTGCCAGTGAAGGTGCCGATTCCGCAACCGTACCATGTTCACAAACCAGTACCGGTGCCGGTGGAAAAGCCGGTTCCGGTGCCGGTCAAAGTGCCGGTTGACAAGCCGTACATCGTCGAGAAGGAGGTTCCGGTTCCGGTCGAGAAAGAAATACCGGTGCCAGTTAAGGTTCCGGTGCACATACCGATTCACATACCGAAGCACGATCACGGTGATCTGGGCGGCGGTGGCGGCGGTTATGGCGATGGAGGCGGATATGGTGGCGGATATGGTGGCGGATATGGTGGCGGATATGGTGGCGACTACGGAGGCGACTTCCATGGTGGCGGCGGTGGAGGTTACGATATTCACGGTTGATCCTCGCGACGACGAATCGCGGAGCGGACGCGAGAAACGAACATCGAGAAGCGTTTTATCTCTACAAAACGCTTTCACTCCCTCGATGTTAGATGATCGCGTGTTTTTCTCCGAATTGAGAGATACTTCTCGTTGAGGATTAGTTCACCAATTCTCGAGAAGTAATCTCTAGAGCTATACGAAAAATTATAATAGCTTTAAGCAAAGATCTTTGTTCCGAGATTATTAGCGAATTAGGAGAAATATGGAGGTGACAACTACTGTCGCGATTGACGAGTTTACCGTATTCTTGTATTATATTTCCGGAAATCCAGGTAAACGTAGCGGTTATTCGGCAATACTTTTAAACTGTACATTATGATAATAAGTTAAGCGAAATCGATTGTTCTATGGATTATGCCCTCTGCGGTAATGAAACGAATCCTGTGCGCATGTTAATAAATTAACGTATTCGAAATCTAAACAAATGTATACTTTTCTATGCTCTAAAAAGGTGCACAAGTACGTGCAGATTCCAGCGTACATTATTGGCTCACATTCGCGGCAATCCGTTACGTCCACGTATAGTATTGCTGTGAGGTATTATTACCATAACTTAGAAACGTAAGTAAGTTAAGTAAAAAAAAAAGTTCATTGTGAAAACAATATACGTATCTTTTTTATATCAAAGATTTAATAAATATTATGCCTATTACACTCCTCACTTTTCTCGATCCTTATCTTAATAACAGATCTAGATCACTTTTCTTAACGTACGTAACAAGATGGAGTGCAAGATAACGCGGAGAGATGGAATAATACATCGTCCGTTATGGTATGACGCGCAGATTCATGCTAATATCAAACATGTTGCGCATATAAGCGAGAGTATAAATCAACGTCAGGATTCACTTTCTCGAGAAAATTTCGTCGACTGTTGAGCGAGAGTTTCACTCTTCTAAATTCATTGTTCCCGTCGGCGAAGAAACGCGCGTTCGTATTATCCGAGCAATTGACATAAAAAAAGAAAATATAAGAAAAAGATTCGCCAACCAAGTCCAAAAAGTACGAGTCAACATTCGCTCGTAAATTATAGCGACGCTTTCCGCGTTTACCTTCCGGTCTAGCCAGCAGGTAAAAGCCATAATGTTACTGATGTTAGCCTGTCAAGAGATCATTAAGTCCTCGAGCGCGAAAATGCAAAAATCACAGAAAGGCAGAAAGGAAGGGATTGCATATCCCTCGTCTCGCGACAGAAGCTGCGCAAACTTCCGCAAACACTTTCGATTCTCGAGCGATCCTGAGCCGCAATTAAGAGCAACTAGATACATGCGTGTTTGCGTTCAAGAAAGCATTACTTTCTCCGTCGGGGCCATCGAGCCTGCCGCATATATATATATATATATGTATACACACGTAAAATTAAATACTCCAAAGCGTATCTACGACATCCGAATGCTATCTCGCCACTCCTTTCACCAAGTCGATTTTTCCCGATTAAAATTTGATAGGTCATCGCTTTTAAGTAATACAAACGCAAGAAACGTCACATAATTTACGTGAGCTTCGAGCATCTGATATTAAACACATTCTGTTAATATTATTAATATTCAGAAGTTTATAAAAATTAATTTAATTTGATGTTGGATATTCGTTTGTAGAGGAAAGATAAAATATTTCTGGTGAAATTGGGTCGGTCATATTAACGAACGAATTTCCTGTTTTGTTACACAGGACAGACAGCCGGCTTTACTCGGGTTTCCTATCGATATTATCAGTCGCCGCGGCGGTGACGTAATTAAAATTCGTAGCGCGCAATTAAATACGAAATAAAGATTAAGATATCCGTTGTATGCTATATCTAAAAATCCGATGAACGTTTCACCTCTTCTTCCGAACGCTCGTTTAGCCACTAATAAAATCTGGGTTCCGTATCTGTTCATACATGTTTATACAAAAAATTACGGGGAAACTTCTGGGGTATTATCGAACATGGGAGAAATCGATAATGACGCAACGCTCAAAAGATCGTCGTAAAATCCATTCCCTTTCGTCTCGTTAAGCGCAATTTATAATATCGGATGTACTTAGGCAGTACATTATTAGAACACGTAACAAGCTAACGACAAGATTAGTTAGTGGTCGATGAAACAATCGCCCATATTCGCGAGACCGTAGCGTTATACTGTAATTGTGTGAGCACGGACGATGTAAATGTAATGCTACCTGCTGCGATGAAACGTGAGGAGAGACCGCGGCGTTCACGTTGGGCGAACGACCGGCTCTCTGTGAAAGTGAAAAAAATGGCGACGATTCTGCGATGCGTGAATTATAGCCCCGTGTTGTACAGGTATCTTACCTACGCTGAGATGCCGCGCGCACTTCCGGTTTTCTATCGAGGCTCTTTGGTAATAATAAGGAAGAAAGTTTCTTGCTGCATCGCCGCTGCCTTGCATTTTCGTATTTCGTTCATCTCATACGGGATGATACATGGCGCCTTTTGTTTCCGGATTGATTTGCATCATCACGATTTCGTAATTGTTTTTAATGGGAAGACTTATTACACCGTTTGTAATATATCCAAAAGGATTGTTTCAAAAGAAAATTTCACCTAATAAATATAGTTTCTTGAATAATTTTTTACACCTCTTAATACGTGTATTTATATTTAAAAAACGACACATTTAATTTTAATAGAATTGACACTCGGCATAATTGTCAATTATATCTTGCATTTTTAATTCGCTGTATATTTTTTACTCTAATCATTTTTAGAAAAAAAAAAGCAATATATGCTTTAAGCGACGTCTACAATGAGATATTGAGGCATAAAACTTAAACTTTAAACTTTAAATCGTAAAAAATTAATCATAGTCGATTAAGAAGCTAATCATAATCGATTATCTATTCTCCTCACATTCGACTGTGATTAATCAATTTCTTACGCCTTGAGACTTAAGTTACGCCTTAAAATCTCATTGTAGACGCTGCTTTACGGCTTTCCCGTGACACAAGGGAGCTCAATCGCGTAAACTAAATTTCTGCAGTATTATCTACATCCACTTTCCGATATTCCAACCCCGTTCCAGGTTTATTCGCGAAGGAAGGAAAGTAGGGGCGGGCTCTCTTATCCGTCTCTGTGGCGGGTGTCGGTGGCGCGACTGTGAAGCGAAGGCAATTATCGTAGCGAAACTTGAACGTGGCAACGCGCGTCCCGAGGACGACGGGTTTTCGGCTTCGATGTGTGGGAGTGAGTGTTTGGCGTCTGATACGACGGGTCAGGTCCCCGGGGATTCTCAGGAACTCAAACGGGACTATCCCACCGCCTCTCTCTCATCACAGTTAATTACCAGTCCTCTGCCGTGCTCGAGTCGGTCTCTCTTTCTCACTCCGTTTACCTTAGTCCCTTAGTCCTCCTCGAACCCATATCGCTTCCGCCGAGCGATCCACCCTCAATAATCCACGACCGTACCGTTTCCTACTGTTCTGAAATCTTTTTTCCGGCGAAAGTAATTTTCGCGAAACACACGGTCAATTATTAAACCGCATTATGCGGTAGAAAACTAATTGCCATCCTTTCTTTTCTTGTAAATAATCTTATATGCATATTAAAGAAATTATTTTTAATATATATTTAAATAATTATTTTGTTGTATATCGTTGTGAATATATATTAACTTTAAAATAATTCATTTATCTTATACGTATATCAGCTTGTGACTGTATTGTTACAATCGTTCTCGAATTATAATAAAAGTTTCTATCCAATTATTATTACTTTCCCTGCATTAAGCGCACTTGGAGATACAAATCTTGTGCGAAGCGCGTTCTTTAACGCGATAAAAAAATATCGTACAGATATCTAAGTGGCTTTTTTTCATATACGGTTAATGGATTCGATTCATGCAGAATACAGGGTGTGTCAGGCATGGCGGGACAAAAATGTAGATTCATACACATTTCAGCGGTGTCACACGTATAGACATTTTAAGAGTTACGTGCAATCAATAGGCGACAGGGAAACCCCCGTGGGAATCCAAGCGAGCGAATCGTAGCGGGATTGAACGCTTGAAATGGAATAATATCCAATAATCTGGCAGCCGAGAGAACGGGATAAAAAGGGACGTTTTATCGGAGCATCACAGCATCCAACCAAGCGGTATCCGACCATTTCCGCCAAGCTCTCGCGGAGCCATTTCGCCCCGTTCTCGGCTAGCTGGCAAAATTAATTATTGATTTCGGATACGCGCATTCAGTCGCGGCGGGCAGCTTTTAATCGAAAACGAGCCATCCGTCGCACACCCATTTCCGACCGCTACGAATTTAACAACGGATCGATCTGGAAATGTCCGTTTGTGTCACACTATTACTGCCGCTTGTAACAAAAAACCTCCGACTATTTGCGGTTATTCGTTTCAATTCTTTTTATGATAATTTTCGAGGTACTTGACGTATATCAGATTAAAACAAAATATTTCGTTAGAATATTATTACCTAATACTATTATGTGCAATTATTATGATATAAAAAAATTGACAAATCATTATTAAGTAACAATATAAAAGGCGTTTTAAATTTAAATAATAAATTACATAATTCAATCATAATGCATCTATATATATATATATATATATATATATATATATATATGTATGTGTATCATATATTATTAGGTGTTGGAATTAATTCGTAGCATTTTTTAATGAAAGAATGTTATTTATTTCACATGAGCATTAAAAAATACATTAATGAAAGTACTTCCCATCACTTGTAAAACGCTACGAATTAATTCCAACACCTAATATTTTAATATATTAATCTATATGAATTCGCAAATTAAAGTTTATTTTATATTTATCCAAATACTATCAATACTCTTATTGACAAAAAACAATATAGGAAAATGAAACAATGTATAAAAATACAGGATTGGAAAGATTAAGGAACATAGATAGGAGTACCTGGAGAAAGGCATCTAGAATGATTATTTATCCTTTGAGGGACGTAGATGGCTGGGAAAGGTTTGGCAAGAAGTTATCGGCTGTTGGTCTTACGAAAGTCTCGTCCGATGTGGCGTTGAAGTCTATCAGCTAAATGAAATAAATTGGAGTAAATTATTTAAATTTAATTTTATGTATAGATATGTGTATTTGAAATATAAATTGTCCTACCATTTGCACATTTTTATTTTATTTTTTTAATTTCTTTTATCTAACACATTTTTTTATCAATACAGAATCGACATTTTCTTAGTAGAAATGTCGATTCTATATTGATTTATATACGAGTATGTACACATATGTATTTCCATTAAATTTTTTATATATTGAAATTTTAAGAAAAAAGTGTTAAGAATAAAGTGTCAGTATAAAAATAATTAAAGGAAGCTGATTAGAGGAATGCAACATGAAAGGTAATATAAATTCACTTGATATTTTCTTTTTTCGTAATATTTTCTCTTTAAAGACGATAAATGAAAATATTAAATATACAGACGTAAAGTATTTGCTCCGTATGTAAAGTAGAGATATAATTTACATTCGCATTACACGCTATTTAAGAAATTTGTTTATTTCTCCATGATCTGGTGAAATCATTTAACTCATACGTATAATATAGCTTTTTAAGCAATATCTTTAATCACCTCTTGTAATTCTGCCTTGCTAAACATATGAAACAATTGTCCGGGCGTCATTGTCATCACTTCAATATTGGTATCGTTCAGTTTTTCTTCCATTACTTGTTTCAATATTGTCAGCGCAGCTTTTAATGCTTCCTTGAGCGTCATGGACTGTAAGAACAATATTCATTTAATATACAATGTCAATAAGCATTGTTCAATTCAATAATAACGCAAATTACCTTATGATATACTTCTTGAAGATTTTGTTGAGCTCCTTCACTACCGGATCCTATGGCTTTTGCATCAAATTGAACAAACGTACCAGATGGATCCATGTGATATAGTTGTGGACCTTTCTCATCAATCCCCGCAAATAACATTGCTACACCAAATGGTCTAGACATGGCAGTGCCATCGTCGTCGCTGTCTCCAAACTGTATAGCTAAATTAGATACAGCTTGAGCAGTTGACTCCACTGTCATTTTTTCATTGTAGACAAACCAATGATTCTGACATTCAACTCGAGCTCTATCAATCATTGTCCGTGAATCGGCCATCAAACCAGATGCTGCACATCCTATATGTTTATCGATTTCTACAATTTTTTCTACAGTGGTTGGTTCCATTAAAGTTGAAGTAATACGTTTCTCCACTGCCAGAACGACTCCTTCTGTTGTTGCAATTCCAATAGCAGTAGAGCCAAGCTTTATGGCTTCTATGGCATATTCGACTTGAAATAATCTTCCTTCTGGCGAGAAGGTATTTACTCCACGATCGTATTCAGAACGTGTTAGAAACATCTTGAAATAGATAGATGAACAAGTTAGAGACGTAGACTATTCATCATTCATTGCGAGTATTGTAAATGTATACAAAACATGAATTATATATTTTCAGTACTTGTAGTGAATAACAAGATTTATAGGTTATGTACATATGTAAATTGATGCTTTTAACTATTTTATATTTGAATTATCTGTTTAATTTCAAGTTGTTAAGAAAGTAATGTAAAATTAAGATTACAGAGTAAACATTAAACGTCCTATAGCATTCTATAGAAATCAAGTTTGAGGTTAAGCGCGATTAAAGATGACACAAATAAATTCAATAAAGTTAAAAAAATTAAAACATCTATTATTATATGTAATTATAATACGCGACAGAACATTCGAATATTAATAAAAATGGATAAAAGCTCAAACAGAAAAGCTCTAACAGAATAACAAACTGAATAGGTCAGTTAACAAAGAATGACATGGCAAAACGAAACAGAATATTCTGTGACTGTAACATAAGTATGATGACAAATGTGATATTTAATATAAATTGTTTTTTCAAACTAAGTTATAAATTTACCTTTAATGTTTTATCTTTATTAAAAGCAAGCGCAAAAGTACAAAACGCCGACTTGTCACAAACGCTAGTCACGGAGAGTGATGGAGAGTGTAACGAATAATTACACTGGAGCAGCAGTAGCGTAACGTTACATGGTATCTCCACTACCTTCAGATCCAGAGAGAAATCTGACAATGTGAAACCTAAAAGTAGACTCAGTGGACGTGTTTAGTATAAATTTTTTTCGTAGATTTATAATTCTCGTTAAGAGAATAGATTATTAATATTTTTATAAAGATATTATAAATAATTATTAGGTGTTGGAATTAATTCGTAGCGTTTTACAAGTGATGGGAAGTACTTTCATTAATGTATTTTTTAATGCTCATGTGAAATAAATAACATTCTTTCATTAAAAAACGCTACGAATTAATTCCAACACCTAATATTAAATTGCTAATTGTCAATTTATTAAATGATATCACTGGTTCTGTTTATGATTACGTTTCAAAACCTAAAAAGATTTCGGCACGCAGTTTACAAATTCAGATGTATATATAAGATTTATTTTGTTTAAAATTAAATTTATTTCTGTCGATTTAAATTTGTATCACAATTACTCAGTGTTTTAAATGGAACGGAAGGAATTCGTTTACTGAGACCTCTATGTGCACAAAACATGCACATTGAACTATCTAGCCACGAATGTAACGGGTAATACACCATGATTTTCGATTCTGTTAAATTTTCGCGTTATGTACATTATTGTATTTGATTCTATTTTGTGTCAATTTTATATCCACAGAATTAAATATTAAATATTAAACATATTCCGCTATATATTTTTAATATCTTTTTTAGAAATTATTTCAATTTTTATTTTTACAACGCAATTATATTTTGTGAATATGATAGCGTGGAATAGAATGGAACAATATACAATATAACAATTAATGTACATACATAACACAATCTCTGATCTAGTTTCCACCGAGGATTTAAACCAGATCAGAATGTAAGAATCAACCAACTACAGTCGAGCATTCCCCTGTCGTTCGATTGTAACAGGGGAATATTCGACTGTGGTTGGTTCTTACATTCTGATCCGGTTTAAACTTTGGTGGAAACTAGACCATTGATATGATAAAATCGAAGGATCGCTGGATGTTATCTATGGGTAAAAATGTTTAGTGTACAGGAGCGCTTAGAAAACGAAACTACATTCAACTGCAGTCTACATTCACATTCTCTATCCATGTTCTGTTGATTAACCAATTGACACGTGTTTATGAAAAGCTTTGTCCGTGCAATAAACAGTGGCAATTTTATTAAAAATGACGACACACATTGATTCGCAAAAATTAAAAATGATTATAAATGAAAAAGACTGGGATCAGTTACTGCAAAACGTCAAACCAAAGCATTTTGTCAGACAAGAGTCAGAGTATGTTTGTAACAATATGTAATTTGTAAGTTGTTAGTTGACAGATAATCATATATGATAATTATTATGTAATGTTTCAGGACGATACTTGATGCAAGTATCTTAGCACAAATGTGTCAAGTACTCTTAAGCGAAGTCACTCCGGATACGATTATAATTTTATGCTTGAAATGTCTGGGGAACTCTTGTCTTGACAGTTACAAACATAAACAACATATGATAGAAAACGTAGAATCTGTTAAATATAAAAGTAAAAATTTATATAATGAATTAGTTGAAAGTGATTTATGCAAACAAAGAAAAAACTGTGATTATCCACATGAGTCTCATTTTCCTTATGATGGAGTCATAGAATGGACTGTAGATTACATTAAGATTCATGGAAAATCCACTTACCATTTAATTGACAATGAATTGGATATCCTTAGACTCAGTATCCAATTTTTATGTAATTTATTTACATATGCCTGTCCAAATATTACATCTACAGAAGAGGATATTCTAAGATATTTAAATTGTGATAATCTGAAACAAGCTATTTTGTAAGTTTACATATAATTATATATAAATATATAAAACTTATTTTAATCTTTTATAATTTGCTAAAAATAAAGAATAAAAAATTATTTTCATTATTTTTTAGGAGTTGCATGCAGTCTGATAATAGATTACTGGCTAATGCAGCTTGTATTTATGTGCACAATGCATTAAAAAAATTATGTCACGACTATTTCACAATGGAGAAGAAAGATATATTTTTACAATTATTAAAACCTACCAAAGAAGGTTTCACATCTGCAAAAGATGCATTGTTATTCCTATTACATCAACCAAATATATTTGAAGATGTATATAATAATATAACTATGAATGAAAAGTTAGATTTACTTAAAATTATCTATGATGAAGTCTGGAATGCTTGGCAATCTGATTTTAATACAGTACTCACAGAGGATCAGGCTGAATTTTTAGCATCAACATTTTGCAAAAAAAGTGATCTCATTTTAAAGACCGTGGACACATACGTGAATAGCATAGATCCTACAGAAATTATCCTTATTCTTAATATTCTGGGACTTCTCACTACACAATGCAAGATCTCAGAAAATGTCAGGAGTTTGCTTATTAATTGTAAATGTAAGAACATCAGTTTTCAGTACAATCTGATTGAATGTAAAAATAATATAATTACATTTATAGATCTTTTGATGTCGTTACATATGATGGGAAAAGAAGCAGACAATTATTTTACTCCAATAACGAATTTAAGTCAAGTGGCACCTAATACTCAAAGAAGAACTGTAAATGTATGCTCAAATATAAGTGATATCGAGGAATCTGAAGCAACAGCGGCAAATTGTGATCCACAGGAACATCCTGCATATGGCTTCAAAGCGGGACTAATACAAGTCATTGCAAATGTGGTACACAAGAACAAAATGTGTCAAGATTTGGTAAGTGCAATTACATGAATTTTATCTTAATATACTTTGTTCTCAAAAAAGGAAGGGAAATGTAAAATTCATACAAATTTATCTACAATCGGTAAGAAACGTTCCTTACTTGTCTCAAGCGTTTTTTTTTCCACGGGTCTACCGTTAAAGCACGCCTCGTAATGGTCATGAGAGGAATTAGAATGTCAAGTTTTAAATATGTGACAATCGATATATAAATAATAAAAAAAGAAATAGAAAAAAAGATATGACAAAGATATGCATACACACATGTTTAGTTATTCCTAATAATATTATTACTTTTATTTCATAAATTTAAATTTATTACATTTAAATTTATGAACTAAAAGTAATAATAATATTAATAATTGAATTTTAAATTAAAATAAAAATTCTTTATTCATTCCTTTTCTTATCACGATTCGGTTTAAATTTTTTTCTTTTATCATAAAAGAATTGCGCAAATTGTATTATTAGATATTTTATACAAGCATTTGTCTTATTGATACTTTTAATTTTTTTTATTATTTACAAAATTAATTATCTACCTAATTTACCTACAAATTAATTAATTTCTACAAATAAATAGTATATCACAAGCTTAAGAAAAACGCAAATAGCTTAGCAAAAATCCTATATTCAACTATATGTTACGAAACCACTTGGTGTATCTTAAGCTTCATACGAAGAAAAAAAAGAATAGCCACAGCGCTGAGTTCCGGCCACACAGAACGCTTGCGTCACGTTGTTCCGTACTCAAGGGATTAAAATTGTATCTCGTGAATGATGGTAGGTTATTTTCAAACGTAGAGAACCTTGACAGTTGCAAAATATAAATTTGGCTTTTTGTTGCGTGCCACGATTGTGCGCTATGCATGTACGGTAAATCGATATTTCTCTCCCGCTGATTACATCTCGCGTGCGGATGATACGGAATACGCGAACAAAAGATACGCAATAGCACGCGGCCTGTCGTGTTGGACAAAGCGAAATTAAGTGTTCCATCTGACTGAGAGATGTAGCAAGATGATCGAAATCTGATATACGCGTTGCAAATTTAACGGATCTGCGAGATGACAAAGTTCACGTCGCATGCGTATTGACAGATAAATTAGTTATGATGAATCAGAGCGGAAACACGAGCCTGCGGGCGGAATATTAAGTCAGTCTCCTAGTATCAAGGATGACACGAACATCGTAGTCACGATAGTAAGATGCAGATGACTTTTTTGCTGATCATCGGTTATGATAAATCTGTTGTCGGTACGGAAATATTGACGTTATAGCGTTCGATCATTCGTGTAGACTAGACAAAAGATGTCTAGTTCTCTTACTGTTAAATTCATAGTGTCAAATTATACTTTAAATTATTTTTAATTATTTCTGTATAAGTCCACTTTTACTGAATATATCGTTAATTTAACTTGAACAAAGTAACTCGAGAAATATATTGAATTTAATTCATTTAGTTTACTATCATTCATTATTTACTAAATACACATATTAATATGGACGTTTATTTTGAGAAACTAAGTATAATTCACTCACAAAATTAGATTGAGTTATATTTTGACACACATGGAAGTTGAAATAACAAAATATTATTTAACTCAAGGAGTTGAGTTACCATTACTCTTTGATATCTAATAATGTTAGTGAGTCTTCGAGATGTTTCAAATAAAAAGGCATAATGATAATATATGATTCCAGTTTCGCGAAATAGATGGAATTCCATTGCTTCTGGATTGTTGTAATATAGACGCGAGGAATCCGCGTAAGTGTAATTGAATTTCATGTTTTTTTTTTTACTTTTGCTCATTTTTGACAATTTGACTCGCTATTGACAATTTTTACGCAGTTATCTTACAATGGACCATTTTCGCTTTGAGAAATCTGTGCGAGGGAAACCCTGAGAATCAAGAAATTATTAAAAATTGTAAAAAAACAGGCGTGCCAGACAATCCCGCGTTGCAAGAGATAGGATTGACTCTGCACGAGGACGTAGATGGGAAATTGATCCGTATCGTTCCTTTGCGTCGCAATTAAGAAGATTTATCTATTTTCTAGAACTCGAGATCGTTCTCGGCGATCAATCAATTCAATAATTATCCAACTATTGCTTGTTTGTATCGATAATATCTTCGATAAAATACAATGATTAGTTTGATCTTGATATGCATAAATAATTATTCTTCCAATTAGTTCGACTGAAATGCATCCTGCTGTATCACTCGCGAAAAAACGATACCATCATTACAACGATTTGTGTCATTAAACGAAATACGATGTAGTATAGAGAGAAATATTTTATCTACATTCTTGACCAAGTGATTTACGATACAATAAAAGCTGCTTCGAGAGTTCACGGTCTATTAGTAATTGCTAATGTAAGTATACAACTGTTTGCTGATCATTTAATTGTAATGCGAAATAGAATTTATTTTCTTTTAATAATGAGTTCTCATTAAGATTTCATTAATGAGCATGAGAATAATAATATTTTTAAGCGGCATTCTGCAATAAATAAATTCGCAATAAATAATGATCCGCACCCACCCATTTTTCTTGCCTTCTCATAAAATTGCCCAAGCCGGATTCATGTTTAAGAATTTATAGAACCTCCAATTATGCTGTCAGGGACGCAGAGTATTTTAATAAATAATTTCTCTATTAATTAATTGCACGCATCTCAATTCTCCCTTGCCCCCGCGATTCCCGTTTTAAGACGATAATTTCTCACGTCCACGGCCATTTCTCATCGCGAACAGTTTTACGATGAGGAACGACGACGTCATTCTGCGCGTAATAGGTGTTTATTAATGTCATCCACGAGGCGCGGGTAAGCGGGCGAGCAAGAGGAATCGCGTGGTGGGTAAGAAATCCGCCTGCGCGTACCAACTTGTGCGTTAATTATACCGGAAGTTTCAAAATACACGAGAGACAGTTACGTTTTCCTTTCTAATGGAATTCACTGGACAGTAACCGCGCGTATTTCCAGCGTCGCGGCTCAACGGGATCGACTAGTACTTGTATAATATCGGTAAATAAATAATAGTAGATAATTATCTCTCGAAGGGCACGTACGGGGCTGTGTGCGTTCTACTTAGCCGTGATACGCGATGGCATGCGCGTCTGGAAGGATTTACGAAATGTAATAATAGGTTTCCGGACGTAATATGCGATCTAATCGAGCATGACCAATCGCTGATTTATAGCGTGATTTCGATTAAGAATAAGATTACGGATAGTCGTGGCGTATAAATGAGAGTCTACTTTTAACTCGTAAATATATGATCAAATGACACTCGCCACGCAAATATGTACATTGTAATAATCGTTCCTTTACTTTATTAGTTCCCGTCGCAACAAAGAACGATAGATTTATATCGCGCGAGTTATATAGTTTCTGTAAGCGAGCCGACTCCTCGGTAAAAGATCTCAAGTTTGTACGGTTCGCGTATGAAAGTAGACGGATTATACCGTACGCGTCCCGCGTACGAACGTTCCGTAAATTGCTTTTGATTTAAATATCGGCCGATCTCGCATCACGAGATCAATCTTGAATGTGCGTAATGGCGAGCAGTTAACGCATCAATTTATCAGTTAATTACATACGCGGTTAATTGCCACGAGTAATTATTTCCGCGCAAGAGAAGAGTTCTCCTCGGTCGCTCGCATATAGGAGAGATGGTGTTCGAAGAAGCGAGATGAGATTCACGCCACGTGAACCACTTTAATTGTGCGGTCAATGCGGTCGATAGAAGTGACTCGTGATTTTTTTGAGAAAAATACAGACATCCCAAAAGCAAAATCCAGCAATTAGAAAAAGACGGTAAGAATACTTCGATTATAGCGAAGAGAATTATCGTTAACTTTGCAAATTCTATTGATTCATTTACAATTTTGTTTCTTTGAAATAAAATTTTTAGAAACAATCTCTTCTCAATCCCGTCTCTACTTTAACATTCTGAATAAAATATGATTTTAATTATGTCAGCAACATTTTTCTTCTTAAATATGGAGACTGAAGAAATTAAAAATAAAGTGATTGATTTATGTTAAAAATAGAAAGATTAATCGTACGTGAGAAAATTTCATTATTTCACTTTTTTGTGATTATAAATTTTGCAACAAGGCCAAAACGGTTATGCACGAACCGCCTACTTGTAAGAATCGATCGGAGTAATTAATTGAATTCGATGCAATACTGCGTTCCGTAGAAGAAATATCTTCCAGCGCGCTGAGGATTTCGTCGATCCGCTAACTTTATTAATATTCATAGACACTGACGAGGGAAGCGTAAAAAGTGTTTGGTCGTGCATGAAATCGCTCAGGTGCGTAAATTCTGATCGACTCCTTGATAATCAACTCGTTGACGCAATAAATTCTAACAAAGATCATTTCAGTCAAATGGAAAGAGAGGGAGAAACTAAGAACGAAATATGACTCAACTCTGGATAATATTTTCTGTTTACAATTATACTTGTATCGCGAGTTATCTGAATCGTTTATCGATTAAGAAATATATTATATATGCATACAACCATGGAGAAATTCTCTCCTTTCTTCCGTTTCTTTGTTAAAGTCTCAAAAATGCTAAGAAATTTTTAGTCGACATTTGGAAGACGATTTACATAATCTTTTAAATTATTGTATGCATAAACATGTGCAAATATTGTACGTTGTATATTACAGAACGGATCGTTCATATTGCTCTTCGATGTCGTGATATTAAGATTTCATTTAAAACCTCCTGTTAATTTGTATTAATTTCGATTAGTTTATGTTTAAATGAAATTTGTATTTTTAAGATTCTCCTTTTAATTTAACGCTAGTGAATGTACACTAGTAAAATAAAAATGGAGTTCGACAATGAGAGGAAAAATTTGAAAAAAATGCTCGATGTTCTTCACATCGAATAACAGACTGAAATTAAAAATACACTAAAAATTGTTAGTTAGTTTTGAAAATAAGAGTGAAAATACGCCACTCTTGAATAA